AGGAGGAGGAGGAAAGGAAGAGGAGGAGGAGAGAAAGGAAGAAGAGGAGGAGGAAGAGGAAGAAGAGAAGGAGAGGAGGAGAAAGGAAAATAATGAGGAGGGGAAAGAAGAGAGAAGAGGAGGAGAAGGAAAAGAAAGAGGAAGAAAGTAAAAGACACTTGGTGGAATATTTTTAAAATATCCCCCACTTTGTTTAAATGTATAAACAGACCAAAAAAAATCTAGACTCTGCAATTTCGGTCAATATTCTCCCTTCCTTATTCCTGGAGATACGCGTGTATATAAACACTCCCATATTGCTGACACATGCAGGCCGGAACCAAAGCGCCCCACATCTAAGAATATTCTCGGCCCCATTTTGCTAGGCAAGCGAAGTTCCAAATATTTTTATTGGCCTGACTATTAATAACAGTTCTGATTGGTCATCTGTTTGGGCCCGTGCTAGTGCCAGCCCAGAGGACGTTGCCAGGATACAGAACCCAGAGCTAAGTGGTTCTAGCTTTCCGTGAAAGAGGGGGTGGTGGATTTGGAACAACAACAACAATTGCCCCGAGGCCCCCCGGACAAGCTCCTCCCTCACTCCGCCCCGACCAGCCCGCAATTAGCCGGCAGAGAGGACTCCAAGAGAATGGCGTGAAAGGGAGCGAGCTGGCAGCACCCAGCCTCAGTACCCCAGTGCTCACAAACACTGCCCTGAAAGCCTGAAATGGTACAGAATGATCTTCTCTAAAGAACGAGCAGTGCTTGAGCAACCCTGGAAATCCACACACACACTCCCAGAACTTTGCACCCGCCTCCAGAGCAGTCATTCCAAAGCTAGATCACATCATTTCAAGTCTTGCCTTTCCTGGGTACCTTCTCCAAGCTCCTCTGCCTGCCTCTGTGGGAGGAGAGCGTGTAGAACACCTCATGGTCTTCACTGCACACCCCTGCTATTGTTCCAAATTGGCCCTGAATAGATTGCTTCCCAGATCATCTCCTCTCTCAATGAAAGTCAGGTGTCTCAGGTGGATCATAAGTGCGTGTACTGCCGGCACCAAACATAAAAACAGCCTTTCTCAGGCATCAATAAGAAAGGAGGGGTTACGGTAGCTAGATTTGTGTTTTCAACTACCGGTTCCTTCGATAATTAAAGATTGCACTGTTTACACATTCAAACTCCTAAATATGGGGCACGCGCAAGGCACTGAGACCTTTTTCTGCAGTTACACTAATTTCCATGCTTCCTCTCTGACTGTCAGAGGAGGGGGGGAAAAATTAAGCAGCTGCAATATGCCTGAAATGAGTTATTGTAATTACATTTAATTAGTTTAATTAGTTAATTATTTTGCTTACAGCTGTACAAGAGACTGCAAACATTTGTTAATATCACATGTCCTTTAACAGTATGGGGGTGATTCCACAGTTATATTAAATCACGGGTGCATGTGCAGGAAGATTTAGATATGTACATAGCTTGTCTGGGCTTCTCAGGGTGTGCATATTTAGCAACACATTTGGCACAATTAAAAATAATAATAAAAAGAAGCAACTCGTAAAACACAGGGAACTGGGGAGAAAATTACTACTGGGGGGGGGATAAAAAAAAGCATGGAAAAGAAAAATAACATGAAGCAGTCAGGATGACAGAAGAGTGGTTCAGGAAAGTCCAGTTATCAACGAAATAATGACAGCACCACATTTTGGAAGCCACCATTCCCGGCCGGTGGCACACATGATGACTGTTTAGTTATGTAAGACGCATGTAGCTTGGCTACTGCATGTATTATGAGAAAGAGAGAGCAGTAGTCTAGGCCCCTCGATTTCTCTCTTCCGGGGTTCTCCGTGCATTTTCCCCACTGAGATCCCATTCTCTTCTTCATCCTCCCTACCTAGTGATATCGGCCACTGCTGCTCAAGAACAAACATGTATATCGTAATAAACCAATGAATCCCCCTAACGTGAAAGCACATCACAAGAACATTAAAACACAAGAAAACTTTGCTTCCTTTGGGAAGGAAAAAAAATCAAAACCTCATACCTTTTTTAATGACAGACTGGTCCAATAGATTCATGCCGCTGCTATTGGCATCTTCAACGGACTGTAAATATAAAAACACCACCATTCAAAACGACTGGATATTATTACAGAGTCCCACATATAAATCATGGTGCTCTCCACCGGACTCTCTGCTGCTATTTCCCTTTATATTCGCCCACAAAGGGAGATTTTGATTATCATTGTGACTTCCAGACTGACAAAGGGAATTTGCCCAATGTGGAAACTCTTCCAATGGAAGGCAAAGGAAAAGGAGTTCAGTGATGACCCAGACATAGCCATCTTTGTATCATTTGCTTCGATGCATTGTGAGACACAGCCAAGAGCTGATTTTCACAGTATCAGTGGAGCCCGATGTCTGTGTTCTCTCCCAGTGCAACTTAACCCCAAAGCTATTTTTACAAATACATAATCGCTTACACTATGGGATTTTAATTACAGTCTGAGCAATTTGGAATGGAATGCAAAGAGGAGTCCACAGGAACGGGTATGCAAGCTTCCCAGCCTGCTGCCGTCCGCAGCACACTCGCTTTCCTGGGAGCTGGGAGCTTTTTCCTGTACCCAGAGAGTCCCTGCAAGAGCCTGCCCCATCCAGTGTCCCAGTCCCAGGCCCGAAGGTGCCCTGATCCACCCAGGGCACACCTGTGAGGAAGACGGTAACCACACACACACACACACACACACACACACACACACACACACACACACAGCTGGACCCTTGCAGCCGGCCCCCAGGTAATCACAAGGAACATTCCTCTTCCTTGCCACCGTTTCAGCCCTGTAGAGGGAAGTTTCAACTCTAAGCATTGGTACAACTTCTGAGGGAAGTAAGCTGTCGAAGCGTGTTTCTGAGTTGTTGGGGTGTGGGGTGTGCGTGAACAGAGTTCTGGCTGTACATCCCCAGGCGTTCCAAAGCAGATTCACTCCACCTATGCCTCCCCACACCCAGTGCAAAGGACACAAACTTTCCCTGCACAACAGCTCCTCCCGCCCGGGGTGTGCAGGAACTCTCGAGTTTGTAACCCACTGTCTAAAGAGGTCTGAAGAAAAAATGCTGGAGAGACAGAGACAGAGAGAGGGGAGCAAACAGATAAAGGGAGGGACCTTCCCACTGCTCCCTGTACTTCCACACGCGCCGCACCCTCAGACAGGGTGGTGTGTGCATCACAAGTAAAAAGGCTGTCTACCCCCAAACAAGCAGAGCTGGGGAAAGGCGATGATCGAAGCAATGGAGAATCCTGGTGGTGTGTTTCTTTTCATTTTTCAGAGTGAGTCTTCCTCTCTTGGGAAGACGAGGAGACAAACTGTTAGCCCTCCCCCCCGCCCCTCTCTCAACTTGTTTTCCTCCCTTGCTCACCTTAGGGTCCGGGGAAAGTGGTTAGGATTTTTTTATTGTTTCAATCCCTTGTTTGTGACTCTGCAGGGACCTGATCTCGGACCCTGGCCCCTCCCCGCACACGCAGCCCCTCTCGGCACACGCGCTGTGTGTGAACCGCCTTGGCCCGCGTGCGTCTGTGGGTGGGAAAGCTCCGTGGTGCGGGGCTGGCCCTCACGTGGGTCGTGGATGTGCGTACGCGCCTCAGCAGCGACGTGGGGTACTTGTGGTAGTTAATGAGAAGGCTCTTGTCTGATTTTCGATCTAATTACGGCCCCCGCTGGGTCCTTGTCCCGGGTATTCACGCCGCATGCTGGCGCTTAATCGGCACACCGAGGATCGTAAAGATTTAATTAGGACTGCATGCGGAAACACAGCAAAACAACTCAGACTCGTAATTACTAGACTTCTTTAGTTAAAAGTGATACCAGGGCTTGCTTTAAGACACAGGGGTGTGTTTGAGTGTGTGTGTGTGTGTGTGTGTGTGTGTGGAGAGAGAGGGAGAGAGAGGAGTTAACTTCACATCTTTATACGTTTGCACTCATGGGTGGCGGGGGGTGGGGGAGGTTACACAGCAAAGTTGCGGCAGAGTTAGAAGGAAATTAAACAAATCCCAAACTAGGAGTTGTCATCCTGTTCCCCTCTTCCTTTCTGTAGCCATTTTCTCCCCTGGGTTTTAAACACTCACTATCTCCTAACCTACCCACCCCCAACACACACACACACACACACACACACACAAACGAGTGCAATGTAGCATACCAAGAACCCAAACAACGATTTGCTAGTTTAATAGCCCCTGTGAGTAAATTGAAATAGAAATTGACAGGGTTTTATAGTTTCATTTAAAAAAATATTAGAAGCATTTGGTTAATGAGCTCTCCTCCTCCTCGTTTCTCTCGGGGTGGTGCCCTGTGTGTGTGTGTGTGTGTGTGTGTGTGTGTGTGTGTGTGTGTGTGTGTGTGTCTGGGGTCCCCCAAGCCTCAGCGCAGAGTCCCGGGCAGCAACCTCTGAAGCGCTGGGGTGCCAGTCTGCGTTGGGGGAGCGTCTGGACATGGGACTAGTGACTTTAAGGTCCAGACTGAGGCACTGTCCCGTCCTCTGCTGTCCCTGCGGAGGCCGGAGGGGAGAGGCCGGCCCCTTTGCTAGAGAGAGAGGTGAGAAGAAGGCCTGGAGGCGTGGGGGCTGCTGGAACTTTCTCTTCGGTTCTCCAGATCCCTGGCACTCTCTCTCAGGAGGTGGATCCCATTCCTGACCCAGCCGCCTTCCCGGTGACCTGTCACCGGCATCCGGGCCCCCGGGGCTCGGCTGGTGGGGTGGAGACCAGTCTTCCCCGCACCAATCGAATCTCTACAAATCTCTCTCAGAAGCTGGTTCAAGAGACAGTGTGCAGGCTGCCCTGGCCTGCCGGGGTACCGGCCAGGCCGGGGAGAAGCTGAAGGGAGAACCGGGAGGCCGGAAACCGTGTGGAGGCCGCGGTTGGCTCTCTACCTCGCTGTGGGTCAGTCCCTAAGCCTCCCTAGAGTAACTCAGCCACAGTACTCCCGAGGGACTTCTCCCACGTCACCTTTGGCCGAACAGCTAAAAACCAATCACAATTCTGCCTTTAAAAAATCTAAATCAAAGAAACTTGCTTTTCCTTTTGTGGGTTCAGTTCTCTGAGCCGCCCCCACCCTCCAGACAGCAGGGCAGGGGGCGGCCTTGGGTGCTGGAAGGATGTGTGGATTCACTTTCATTATCCAGCATGTCGAACAGCACTCAGAGAGGTTCATTTCAAAACTTTTTCCCCTAAGACATATATCCCCCCCAATCCCGTGCATTAAAAAGAAACTGTTAAATGTTTCCTTCCTTATATGCTAACCCCAAATGAACACCAGCTCCCAAAGGGACACAAGACTATCATCACTTCAACCGGGAGGGAGATTCAGCCCCAAGACCAGATGACACACACACACACACACACACACACACACACACACACACACACACACACACACATTACACATATATAATGTTTCTTTTTAAAACAATCGTCAGCTCTCGCACACCACTCAGACAGCATTTCATGTGGCCACATTTTAACTGTTGGGAAATACTTTTTTCACCCCCCACCCCCACCCAGGAAGGTGGTGCGCCCTTTCTCTTCCATTTCCTTTCCCTTTGCTTCAGAAGCACGTCTAAAAAAATGATCGATCACATCTGCAACTCTGCCAATGAGATCTAAACCGCCAGTTAAATACTTTTCCAACCATATTTCTCTTTTCTGGGGACTCTGAAGTGGGGGCGGTGGCAGTGAAGTTCTGCTCAGAGTCCCACGGCCAGGTTTGGGGGGGAATCAGTTCTTTGATGTTTCTTTGTTTGGTTTCCAAGGGTTCTCCACCCAAATCAGCCCAGTGTGCAGGGTGCAGATGGAGCAGTAGGTGGGCCGGGAGGCCTGTGAGGCCTTTTGTTTTAAGAAGTAAGCACGTGACACCTCTTCCCCTGGGGTGGTGGCTGCGGTGTTCACAGCAGGAGGGGAGGAGGGAAGGATAAATGTAGAGCCTTGCTTCACCCTCACCGACCGAAAGACAAAACTCCCACAAATACCAACCAACCAACCACACTCAGCAAAGGAGCTCCATAATGGTTCATCGGTTCTCAGGGACTAACCTAACCTAACTGTGTGGCTTTCTGGGGTGTGTCCCTCACCAATAGAACCTGGCCCGTGATGGACTCGTGTGTGTGTGTGTGTGTGTGTGTGTGTGTGTGTGGTGGGGGAGAAGGCTGTGGTTCTGGTGACATTTGAAGCAAGATCTGGCTTAAGGAAACAGATCTCAGCCTCTTTCTGATTTTCCCTGGGCAACTTTTTGTGGCGGTGGTTGTGGGCACGGGTGTCAGAACCTGCCAGTCCTCGGCAGGCCCTGAGCCTCGAAGTGGCCTTGCACCTTGGGGGTGCTACCCGGGGGAGCTCTGTAGGCCGCTCCGGTGCGTGTGTGGTAGCAAGCCACAGGAGAGTAACACCATCCTGGGTCCCAGGGATCCTTAGCTACACACGCACACGCATGCACACACGCACAGTGCCTCCTTTGTCAGTCTTGGATGTCCAGCGGCTCTTCCAAGCTCCCACCTCTAGCCATCACCCCGCCCCGGCCGGGGAGCCCCCCAGCCTGCACCCGCACCCCCGCGCGCGCCCCTCCCCGCCCTGGTTACCTGGACGTCCTCCATGGCCGGGTGGCCCAGGCCGTGCAGGGACAGGCTGTCGCCCATGCCCGCGTCCAGGCCGTGGTGCGCCGAGTGCAGCAGCACGTCGGGCCGGCGCACGGCGTGGTAGTCCCGGCGCGGGTCGAGGCCCGACAGCTGCGGCAGCGCGGCGCGGGGCTGGGGCAGCAGCGCGCCCGCGTCGGCGCCCACGTCCTGCCGCTGCCGCTGTCCCCACGGGTGCTGCTGCGGCTGGTGCAGCGGGTTCAGCGCGTACGGGTCGTTGACGTGCGAGTAGGGGTCCTGGCTCTGGTGGTAGGGGAGCGGCTGGTAGGGGGGCGGGAAGTAGGGGGGCTGGAAGTCCGAGGACGGGGTGTGCGACAGCGGCGGCGCGCTCGAGTACGGCCCCTGCGACACGGAGCCCAGCTGGGAGAGCCGGGAGCTGTGGCTGGGCACGCCATCGTGCCGGTCCTGGGGGAGGAGGAGGCAGGGGAGGGAGAGAGAGAGAGAGAGAGAGAGGCAACACATGGACAGGCCGCACGGCCTTGGCCGGACAGGGTAAGGGCAGCCCCCCATGCCCCCCAGATGGCGGGGCCCCCTTCCCAACCGGGTCCCCTTCCCAACCAGGGGGGGGCCTTCGGGGAGAAGCGGGAAATAATCGGAGCGGCTTTCTTTTGGGGGTGCACAGCAGGCCCAGGGGGCTGGGGTGGGGTGGAGGGGTGTGGGGGGGCCGAGCTACTAAATGTAGAGAAGTGCGGGCCCCACGCGGGGCGAGCGCTCCCCCCTCCTCGAAATCTCTCAGAGATCCCCCCAAAGTAGCACAAAGGAAAGAAACTTCGCGGCCTCTGCCCCGTCCCCCGTTTTTATTTCTATTTATATATATGGATGAATATTAAAAGGCCGAGTCCTGCTCGCGCAGACGCGGGAGCGGGGCTGGTGACCACTTCGTTCCTCCCGCAATCTGGAGATTCCAGGACCTTCCAGGAACCTGCCCGGCCTCAGTTTCCAGTCCTACCCCCGCAACACATCCCCCCCCCTGCTCCCCAGAAGGAATGAAGAGAAACAAACTCAGTAGTGCCTCCAGGAAAGGGGGCTGGGGCGGCGCCCGCACCCGCCCGCGCCCCGGCCCGGCTGGCGGAGCTGTGCTGTGCGGGCACTGCTTCTAAAGCCGGCTTTTTTTGGGGGGGCATCGCCCTTGGGGGTGCAAATGCAAGATATGCAGTTGGAGGGGACGAGCCTCCTCCCCGCCTCTCTCCACACCACGTTTTCGGGGTGTCCTGTCTAAGCAGGGTGCAAAACCCAGGGGAAAGAGCTAAAGGGAAGGGGGCCTGGAAGTTTTCTCCCTCTGTGGAAATGCCCAGGTACAACCCACGGCGTGTGCGTGTGAGCGTGTGAGCGTGTGGTTGCAGAAAGCATCATCACAATGTCCCCGCTGCAGTGGCCAAGTTTTGTGCTGCTTTCCCTAGTCCGGCCGGCCGTGTTCCTGTTCCCTCCTCCACCGACTCTCGGAGCGGAGCCCGAGGCGCGCGGCGCGCAAGGCCGAGCGGCCTCCGCAGACCCCGGGTGCCCGGCTACGCCACCCAGCTAGAGGCGCTGCCAGGAAGACAGACAGACACTCACACACGCACGCGCGCGTGCACACGCGCACACACACACAGGCAGAGAGAGACAGAGAGAGGATGAGAAGAGAGCATGCAGTGCTGGGCCAACAGGAATCCGAACTCACCATGGATGAGTAGGTGTGGACTAACATCTGGAAAGAGAAGCCTGGTTACTGCCCGAGATCAAACAGCGAGCTTTAAAAACACCTCATCTATCTATCCATCCATCTATCTATCTGTCTATCTATCTATCTATCTATCTATCTATCTATCTATCTATCTATCGATCTATCTATCTATCTATCTATCTATCTATCTATCTATCTATCTATCTCTGTCTGTCTGTCTGTCTGTCTGTCTCTCATCTATAGCTATAGTCAGCAGCTATCAGCAAGTCCAGCAAAGAGTCTGGCGCTGGACACCCGAACCCGGCCTGAGCTGCGGCCAGGACCAGCCATGAAAACCATGAAAAATTAAAAAATGACCCCCTCCAACCAGAGTGGCCGCGCCCGCCGCCCGGGCAGGGCCGGGCATCTGCCTCCCTCTCTCTCTCTCTCTCTCTCTCTCTC